GCCAAGAACGCTGGCTGCGTTTCCTCGCTGAATAGCTATACTTAGTCTTTGAGCCACGAAAACAGTCCTCTTATCACCAGCAACTCCATCGTAACAGTTCCTTTAGAAACTTCATTGCACGTGGACCCCACGGACCGATAGTCTCTACAGCAAATGGCACAAATATGTAGTCATTTCTCAAAGACTCATTATTTGCGCCATTTACTAAATTCGGTTGCCTCTTATGCCGCCCCGGCTCTAAAAGAGGTACCATTGAGATGAGAGGCCGCCAAAGTGTCAACGCAAGTAGCATCCCACACTAGGGCTTTACCTCTCTCCCAAGGGACCAAAGTCATACCGTCGGGTCTCTTGCCATCGTCTCTAAATATCCCGCAAATGTATGTTCTCAGGAATAGCTAAACTGATTTTAGTGATCCTCCTTCAATTAAATAGGTCATACTTTATGAGTAGTTTTAAATGTTTAGTGGCAGTGTAAGAATTTCTACTACTCCATATAATCGTCGCATCGTTAGCGGCGACAAAGGAAATAAACCAGGAGATAGGCAGCAGTGTCAGTATATAACGACTAAAAATAAACATAAACTACGAATGCCGAAGCTATGCCAAACCCCTCCCTCTATGAAATCGAAGCTTACTTTAACTAGGTTTAATAGGCTGTAAAAACTTCAAGGATGGTCCCATATTAATTTTAAGACACAATTTCACCCCCAAGGGTGAAAGATGAAATTCTTCACGTAGCTTATTAAGACGACATTCTAGTTGTTACTTTGAATTTGTGATATTCTTTAGTTCACTCAAAAGGCAATTGAACTTAATAAACGAATCCAAAGACAAAAAAAAAACAGAACAGCTTCTGAAGTCGGGCTGTATTAGAATTCTTCAATACAATTTATATCTCATCATCACTTCCGACTTCTACTATTATGTGGAAAAAAAATTTTTAAGTCGGTTTTTTCAAAGTTAAATAAATATAGTTAAACAAATTTCACTCATGATAAGTTCTCTGAATAAGCTTTATTGCTTTTATATATTAGTTATAATTGCTGTACTGAAATTAAAATGAAATTGAATTTCGTATTCTTTTTGTCTTTTCAACACACCTTGAGTTCACTTGGAGATTATGCTGAAAGGCATTAATTCTTAGAAACCGTTGTAATTAAGTATATTTTAAATAAATAATATAAATTGAATCGTTTTCCGAATGGAATAGCATAGGAGAATACATCACACCTTATCATAAGAGTTTCGTAAGAGTCGACTTAGTACCGATTGATATACCATAATTATATCAGATGTAAAAAAAAAATGCGGTATTTGAGATGCCAGGTATATGATATTGTAATTGGAAATCTGCAAAACGGACTATACTATATATATATATATACATATATATATATATATATATATATATATATATATATATATATATATATATATATACTATATATATATAAGTAATTCTTATCAGTATTTCCTTTATTGATAGGAATTGATAAATGCAGATTCGATGGTTAAGAAAAAAACCTAATATCTATAATACCTTGTTAACTTAGTACAGTCTTACCTTTATATTTTTTTTAAAACTAAACTGACCCACAGTCCACCTGATTATATTAGTAGTATAGTTGTAGCACGAATGGGTCGTCTCGACCGGAGAAAGACCACGCTCTCACAGAATACCAACGTAAAATAGTAGCTTAATGCTGCTGTGTTTCGTATGGTGAGTGTAGAGATCCGGACACCCTTTTTACTGAAAACGAAGCATTCCACCTTAGTCCTGACGGGCGATAACGCATCTGCATTTTGATACGTAATCGAGGATGTATGTAGATGTGTATGGGCCACAGCAACCATTTACCATCAGGTGGACTGTGTGCTCGTTAATCACCCTATCCTATTAAAAAAATAACTACAAACAAAGAAAGCTTAATGCATTATCACCTATAATGTGAAGGAGATGTTGGAACGCCTCATATTTTAATGCACCTGTACTGTACTAGTTCTCTATACCCTCTGGACCGCAATACAGTAGTGTAGCTACCGCTATTTTGTGCCAGAAATAGGTAAAGATGATACCTAACCAAACGAACCCCTACACCTAGATGGTAGAACTACGCTGCTACGTATTATAACTGCAGTGCAATTAAGTCGGCGCGATCGGAGAAGGGCTACATTCGCACAGAACTCCATCGTGAAATAGCAGCATAATGCTGCTGTGTTTATATGGTGAGTGAAGAAAACCGAAGACCATGGTGAGACCATAACCGGGTGATAACGCAATCTGCATGCCTTTAAACAATAACATCCTCATCCATCCATCCTAAGTAGAGAAGTAGTAGTAGAGTGTGTCAACGTTGTCATGATGTCATCATATACAAGTAATGATGAAGTGGCAATGTGCCAGCCATATCGTTATAATAACTGTCAACCGATAAGGAAAAAAGGTTCTCGAGTGGCTGCTTCTTACCGGTAAATGGAGTGAAGGGTGGGTATAAATGGCAGTTAAGACATGCAGAAAGTCGATGGGTACAAGTGGCTTAGGACCGTCGTTTAGGGCGTTTCTTAGAGAAGACCTATGTTCAGCAGTGGACTCGCGAAAGGCTGTGATGATGATAATAATACTGAATATATCTAAGAAAATATGTGATAATAATAAAGATGAAACAAACAACTGCTATAAAAGAACAAACAATTCAGCTACGGCCTATATACATCCCACTTCTGTACTCAACCCTCCTCTAATCTCTCATCACCTCTGTAAATATTTGGGGTTTCGAAGCAGAGAAGTTGGGCGCACTCTTCCAATGCGATTCGATGAACTTAACATCGCAAGTGGTACGAGTAGAGCCACGCCGCAGCTATATTATAGTTGTAGCACGAATGGGTCGGCTCGACCGGTGAAGAATCACGCTCTCACAGAATACCAGCGTCAAATAGCAGTTTAATGCTGCTGTATTTCGTATGGTGAGTGTAGAGAACCGGAGACTCTTTGTAGTGGAAACGAGGCATTCCATCTTAGTCCTCAGGGGTGACGACGCATTTGCATTTTGATTTTTAATTGAGGATAAATGTGGATGTATATGGACCACAGTATCTAATCAGGTGAACTGTGTCCTCGTTTGTCACCCAATGCTATAAAAAATACACACCCCAAAAATAATATTTACTTTATAACCGAGTGCCGAGAACTAGGAGGTTTTATATTAGATAGGATGTTTTTATTTATGTTCCCCAGTTTCTCGGAAGCTGAACTGATTTTAATGACAGATACATTTGTAAACAGTCTTTCGTACACAGACTATTCTTCAAAAGTGACCCCGGATAAATTTTAAGTATAATGTTTCACCCCTAAGGGAGAAAAATAAGGTATGAAGTTTAAAGAGTTACTAGTGATTACTATACGACCTCCGACCTTGAACTCGTTGTAATATTCCTAAGTCTCTTCTAAATTTAAAAAATAAAGATATAAATATATATAAAGAAAGAAGAATTTAATAATTTTCACATAACTGCTTTTGAAGGTGCTAAGATATTTTGTAAGGAAGAATTTCGTCTTCCGAAACTATTATATGAAACTTATTTCATTCTTTTTAGTTTATTCTTAAAGTTTAATTTTTAAGAAACATGGATCCCTCTTGACAGTTAGGTAATCAACATCATCTTCGCTGAGCAGGTACACCCGCCTCATGGGACCAAGGTGTGTTATGTCGCTTTCGCATAATTAGAGCCAAGGGAATGCTTGCGCGCCTTCGCGGTTCTATCTACGCTTGTTATGCCTTAGTGACCCCTCCACGGGGGAAGATAAGCGTGACTATTCACAAAGCGCACTTTTCTCTTCGGCTTCCACCTCCATTTCTATCTGTGCAATGGACCCCTCCGAATATGATACATGGAGGTAATGGACCAGGAAAAACAAGTACTACAGATACTTGTTTTTCACTAGCACTAGGTTTCTGGGCCATAGGCCTAGAATAAGGCAAAAGGCGCCTGGCCATACCAACACTCCTCTTCTCCTCGTCTGTGTTGGTCAGGGGGAGAGCAGGAGTCAACAAATGTGTTGTGCCGGATCCGGAGTGGAATCCGAGGTGGTCGTTCCAAGAGGGCTTAGCTCAAGTAGCGGTCACCTTGGGCTGGCAAACACACCGGGCCAGCCATGTGAGCTCCTATTAGTTCACAGTGAGTGATCAAGCCACAGCTACTAAGCTTTAGCCATGATTAGGCGGGATACGTTACGGGAAGGGGAAGCATTTATCCCCTACGCTAACGTGGAAAACTGCAGTGTTTGCGGTAGTCACACATTACTTATTACTACGCCTACTTAAATGTCTCCTGCTGAACAAAGGTCTCTCTCAATGAATGCCACCAAACACGGTCCTTAGTCCCCTGCGTCCATTGACTTTCCTTATCATCTAGTGGGAACCGCCTTACATCTGCTTACGGGTGCGAGGCTGCCACTTATGAAACTTTTTTTCATATTATTTGTTGATTCATTGAGTTCGGTATACAATCGGCTCATACCACTTCAGGTTACGGGCTATGCCGGTTACACTCGCTCCACTATCTTCTTTATGAATTTTTCTTTCTCTATTTCGCAGGGGACCAGCAATGCAGAACTAAGCTTTATTTCCATATGTTATCAGGATTCTTAAATAGAAGATGTGTCAAATCACAATTTCTCAAACTGCCAAGCTTAGATGAATCCATCGATTGTTAAAATAAATTTGGGTATATTTCTACATAAATATTTTATCAAATATAAATTCTCTCGTATGGCAAAGCTATAAAATAAACTAAGGCCAAAGCATACATACTATCAAATTTATAAAATACCAAACAGACTTACTATCTAATTCAATATATTAAAATTGATATATGACAATGTAACTAAGATCCAGAAAAATTCTTTTCTTAATTCATGATCGGTACAAAATGAATGTATTAATTACGCTGACTTTGATATCTCATAATTGTATCATGAACTTACGACGTACGATACTTACATGACAGCGATCTCCTCGACGCAGCGTGTTCCGAAAATCCTGCAGGTTTTTCTATTTTGGGTTCCTCGCCAAATTCTAATGATCTCCCTTGAAGTTCTGGATCTCTTATAATCGGTATCGCTCTTGGATGAAACGTGACTTCATTGAGAGGTGACTCTTTTACCATGTTATCATTACTTTTCTCTTTGGCAATTTGGAAATAATTACCAGGTAAAAGTACTTCAGGTTTGTACTTGTTACTATGTATATTCACATTGTTCTGTGAATAGTAAACATTATTATTGTCAAGTTGGAGCTGCTGATTTCCTCTTAGTAGTGGTATCGCACGGGGCTTAAACGCATGCTTGTATTCGGGAGGAGTTCCTTTTAAATCTTTCGTTTGTCGTGATGAAATTATGTGAGCACGACCATAATTAGTTGGCTGTATCATAATGGAGGCACTAGTCACATTAACTACTGCAGATCCATCACTATTTGATGCACTGGATAAAGACCAAAGTTTCGTTAAATTATCCTCGTAATCTCGATGAGCTATAGTTAACACAGCCAAGCATGACACAATTATAATTTGAAGCCACATGTGGCTCTCCATATTGTTTTTTTTTAATTACGAATTATTAGTGACGCGTCACTGGTTCCACAGTTGTTGACACTTCACTTTCTTCTGTCAAATTAGTGTTTGGACCCTCACCCCGTTCGTACCATCATTTTGTTGCAAGCGATCGCGCAAAACTGAATCACTATCGTTAGACGGCGTTATATTTATACATGTGTAAGTATAAACTTGCGTTTTTCCCGACTATTTACGGTCGGATGGTCTCGCGGAACCTACCACGACTTAGTTGCAATGCTGATATCGACGAAATGTAGAATAGCCCAAAACAAAAACTAGGTGCGCAGCACGACTTTGTTGAAACACCACGCGCTGCTTCTTCCGCTAACGACCCTTAGCTCCATACAGAACAATCAATTTCCTCGGATAAGTACCATGCTAACTCGTAATTTGTCATGTCGTTACGATTCATTATTATTTGGTCTTATTTTCATGTCAGAGATATCTGTTAGCATCAAAAGTCGTGAAATGTTTATGAGAAATTGTTTCCAATTGTCTCAATAACTTTGTAAACATGTTTTTGTTTTACTTTATTAATTTTTTGAATAGCTAATGGTTTAGCAATGGACATTGAAATTATTAAACAAAAATAAAAACATATCGTATCGAAGAATTACGAGTAAAGCTCCCGACTTCAGAAGCTACGAGTTACGTAATTATTTTTTTTAGTTTCTGTTCATTTTCATTTTTACTAATTTTTTAGTAAAAATGAAAACTGAACCAGAGTTCAGTTTTCATTTTTTATTAAACGTTTAACTATTGTACACATTGAGTGTCTAAAGAATATCATAAGTTTAAGGTAATAGTTTAAGGTATGTCGTTTAAAAGGGTATGGTAAATTCTTCATTCCCTATTTCCCACCTTTATAGACAGAGTATTTCCATTCCTAGGATGGAATAATAGGGTATGGGATTTGACTATCTCCGAAGTATTAATTTAATATAAAAATAACAATTTAAGTAGGTTAAGCCGATTCCGGAAAACCAGTGAACATACATAAAAAACGTACACACACCTACATGTTGTAATCTTCCCGTTATGTGGTTATTTCTTTAAGTCTTTACCCCACACTATGATTTTCTTCTGTATCGTGGAGGCAGTTTACATACACAAATAAATATGAACAAACATCCAGGACTGAAAGAATTATGTAGGCCGTATAAATACTTGCTCCGTTTTGGGATTCGAATCAGCGCCGTTTCTCGTTGCTGAGCCACTGCGCAACGGATCCTTCATTAGAACTTTATAAACTTTTTATTCTCGTTATTAGAACTCTGTGAAAAACTAATGATAAATAGCACTTATGCTATTAAGTTATATCATACGGTTAACAAACATACAGTTAATTTGTGATCCACGTAAAATCTTAATACATTACAATGTATCCTATATTGAAGTAATACCAATAATCAACAAGATATAAGAATAAAATAATCAGAATTAAGATATTATTTCAGATATTACTTGCTCTTGATTGTGACTTATTGCTTGATTGTGTTTTCTAAATAATTTTTAAATCCCAACCTATAGACTTTTCGCTTAGATACGATCGCATCGGCAGCATCTTGTCAAACGCGCCATCGCAACATAAAAAGTCACCACGTGCGGCGTACACCCGAAGGAGAATTTGGCATTTTTAAACAAAGAGCCGTAGTAAAAGGTTTGCTACTCAATTTGTAAAAAATAGTAAAGTGAAGTTACAGCCTATATACGTCCCACTGCTGGACACAGACCTCCGCTCATTTCTGATAGGGATTTAGGGCAAGGAATTTTCCGCCGCGCTGCCCCAATGCGCGTAGGCGAACTTCACATGTCTTCGAAATATTTTTTTTCTTATTTCTCTGACATGCAGGTTTCCTCACGATGTTTTCCTTTACTGCCGAGCACTTGGTAAATCAGCACTTAAAATTGCAATTAACAATTTCATTGGTGCTGGAGGGAATCGAACCCGGTTTGCTCGTGTACTGTGAAATTTACAGCGAGCCCTAACCATCTGAGCTACCACGGCTCTCGTGTCACTTTACTTGTGTTAATTGTTTATATTAGTATTTTATTGCAATAACCAAAAGAATAATATATTATTTTATTCTATTCTACGAATAGGAAAACATTTATTTAACAAACACAATAAAAATAATAAAATAAAAGCAATATAATAAGTGCGCCTCCGGGTGTACCGACACTATCTTATTGAACAGACTATACTTAAATGTAACTTTGCTTAGCGTTGGTTCGTGACAAGGCCCAATAAAATGGTAGCGTTTTTGATTAATTAGTAATTAGCCTATTTAGTGCTAAAAATCTTGCGTCTTACATCATACTTAATAGCTGCACAGACATTACGATAATTCGTTTATATTCTATTTAAGGGAAAAGCTTTGTCTTCGTATCACAGTTTTGATTAAATTAAGGGAAATAAATGAATCAATTTCTAGACAATTTTTAGAGCCTTGCCAATTTCGATAATGGGAAATATAGGGCCAATTTGTAGAATAATGTAGTTTCGTAATATTGATCTTTTATTTTTGTCCTTTAAGACTCTAAATTCTGAATACAGTAGCGCTAAAGAATAATGTACTGATTGACTCATGTAAAGGCAGATCTTATCAGTCCACGACAGTTCACTGATGAGCTACACCCATAGCAGTTAGCTGGCCTTGGCCCCATCATGGATAGTGCTGCACGCACCGGCTTAGATAATTCATTTACGCCATACACGAGAAGTTTATACGTTCGTGAAAAGATATAAAATTATCTGGCAGTTATATAAGTTGATTATCACAACAATCTCGTAATTTAATTTGGGAATAGAATCTCTTTGACCGCATTTCATGGAACCAATACATTTGTTGCAAAAAAGATATTAACTTTTAGTAGTATTAACAGCTGTGTAATATATTATACACATAATAAAATACATAAACACTCACGCCTGTCACCCAGAGGGGTAGGCAGAGACTACGGACTTCCATTTGGCACGATCCTGACATACCTCTTTCGCCTCCTTTACATCCATATATCTACGCATACATGCTCGTCGGTTAAGGGTACTTCTAACGTGGCCCCTTTTCAAAATATCGCCAATTTGGTCGATAAACTTTTTTCTAGGGCGTCCCTTCCCGATTCGGCCGTTCACATCTGCCATGTAAATTGCTTTGTCACTCTTTCCTCATTCATTCTTTCTACATGACCAAACCACCGAAGCATTCCTTTCTTAATCCTGGTCACAACATCATCTTGCATACCACATTTATCTCTTATCACGCAATTTCTCACCCTGTCATTCAGATTCAACCCTAGCACACTCCTTAAAGACCGCATTTCTACAGCATTTATTCTACTTTCGTGCTTCTTCTGCCACACCCAACTTTCACTACCATACATTAAAGTAGGGACTAACACAGCATTATGAATTACCATACGTGCCTTTTTTGACACATTCTGGTTCTTCATAATAGAGTGTAGTGCCCCATTCACTCTATTCCCATTCACTCGTCGTTCTATATCCCTATCATATCTACCATCCCTGCTAAATACACATCCAAATACACAAACTCATCCACTTGCTCAATTAACTCTCCTTCTATTCTTATTTCACATACCGTTTTGCTTTCTTCTCTTTCAAAAACCATCACTTTCGTTTTACTTGCGTTCACTTTTATTCCCCTTTCTTTTAATTCCCAGTTCATTAATGTAACCATCATTTGCAACTCAGCCGCCGATGACGCAAATATGACTTGATCATCGGCATACAAAAGGCATTTGACGGTTAACTCACCCATTCTCAACCCAATTCTTCATCTTTCAAAGTTTGCAAACACCTGTCCATAAATAGGTTGAACAGCCAAGGGGAAGCTACACAGCCCTGTCTGACACCTTTTTGGATGCCAAACCAGTCCGAGTAGACCCCATTGATCCTGACACAAGCACTAGAATCCCTATAAAGAGACCTTAATGCCTGTATCAAACCAGCGCTCAACCCATATGAGTTCAGTGTTTGCCATAACACATTCCTGTCCACTCTGTCATAAGCCTTTTCCAAGTCCATGAACGCACAAAAAACTTTCTGGTTTTTGGCCAAAAACTTCTCCGCAATCATGCGCATGGAAAATACTTGATCTGTACACCCCATTCCCTTTCTAATTTTATACATTGACAATTTTATAACGTTTTAGCTACATGATTTACTATTTCTTTAAATCATAAAACTTGGGGCTTTCTATCAAGAAATGCTCAGTAGAGCCTGGAGTCAAGAAGTTTAAAGTATTTGGCCACTGTTTTTTTATGGAATAATTGTGACAAAAAAGCTGACGTTTAACTTGAGGGTAAGTAAATGCTGCTCATCGATAAAACCTTCATCTATTCATGATTAAGAATTAAAATGCAGATGTAAACAAATGAAGTTATTATCAGTAAAAAGAGTGCTGGTGGTCCTACGTCCTTGGACTTTCAGCGCCTATGTTTGTGCACACCCTCGATCACTTTAATACTGTCTTACGCAGATGGCTAGTTTCAGTTAAGACTGGCCGCCAGGACTGAATTTCGGTCTGGAGGACGTTAATAAATGTAAATATTTTTGAAATGCAGCATACTATCTGGGAAAGGACCATATGTGAACAGAATACCAGCGTAAAATAGCAGTATAATGCGTTTGGTATTGTAAATGTCGAGATCAGGAAATAATTTTTACGGGTAAAAAGGAATTTATCAGTCCTTGAGGTGACATTTATCGTTACAGCCTATCAAAAGTCCACTGGTGTTTGTGTATTATGATGACGGTGTATTGATATGCTCGAGAAAACTATCCATGCGATTGGAGCAAAATATTGCAAGAACAACCCTAGCAGACCTTAAAAATTCGGATCGGTAATGGACTGATTCTACAACACAGTAGGTACCGTTAAACCTGGCAAATTTGAAATTTTTGGAAAGACCTAAAAGTTTAGGACCAATTTTCCAACACAAAAGGTACTCTCAGA